TCACCAGTCATTGTACTCAACCTCACGTCCTATGTGGAGGATCTTGGAGTTTCAGTTCCTTGTCTGGATAGGAGGGCTGGCATGAGGAAAACCCCTCCCCATCAAATGATTGAACGAAACCGCATGTTGTTTGGCAGTCAGTTGATCAGGCCATAGCGCAGCCCGGTACACGTTCATTTAGATTGCCATGCTTTGCTCTGCTGATGTGTTTTGTTTATATAATGGTTCAGAGCCAGCCAAAGTCAGATCTCACCGTCATGATGACCCTGACAGCTCTGGAGAAGAGATGCTCAAATTGAAAAAACAAGAGCAAGCACGTGACATCTTCTCTGTCTTTTCCAGACCTGACTTACCCAAATGAGAAGAACCCTTATATATAATAATTAGACCCCTTTGCCTAAAAGATTCGGATGCATCACTATCGGCTACTACAGGCTTCTCAGTTTGCCACCCAATGACCACCCAAAGAACCCTCCTGCGTTCTTGTAGTAGTAGCTGCAAATTGCATCGCGCAACCAACCCATTAAACTAGAGCTCCGAGCTATGGTAATACGAAAGAAAGCACAATTCAGTGAGAAGAAAAAAATAGATTCAAATAGTGGAAAACATGGTTGGGTGAGAAACCAATGATTACCAAGAGTCAGAGCTTTCTTTGCGGTATGTGTCATTGGGTCCTTTTTGTCTCCAAAATTTGAATTTTATTTTGGATTGAATCAAATTCATTGGTTTTAATCCAAGGCTTTCCGTCTCAGGGAGTCCAAGCAAGAGCTCAAGGGAGGCTTTCACACGGACTTGCTCTTTTACCAAAGCGTTTGGTGGCTAAACAAGGACGGATTTGGAGCTGCACGATTGGCCAGAGAGGTGACCGATGCATGGATCGCAGGTAAGCTGGAGCACGCAGGGCAGAAAATCAATGTCGACATTCCAGCTTTGACGAATGATGAAATCTCATCAATCCCAGGCGCTGCCGCAAGCCTTTCTCGACTTGACACGGTGCAGTTCGAAGTCCTGGAAAGGATTGGCAGCAGCATGAACATCAAGAATGACGAACACCGCTTCTGGATGGCCCAGGGAGGGACCATCACAGATGAATATTGTGCCCTTCGTGAAGCTCATCTTGACCTCATAGGAAGGGAAAATGTGCTTCAAGCAGATGGTCCAAGTGAAGCATCCCAGCAACTTGTAGAGGCACAACCCGAGAACACAGAGTCTGAAGCAGCTACCACAGCTACCACCATGGAATCCTTGGAAAAATTGGAAGCGTCGCATGGTGTTGAGCACAAGGTTGCCTCGGAGATCCCTCAGGTGGAGATTATTTTGGCAAAAGATGGGTCTTTGTGGCTGATGTCTTCTCAAGATCGGTCCATCCCAAAGCATTCACAACTCGGAGGCTTTGGGACAGGGCAGTATGTGCCAGCAGAAGGAGAGGAAGGCATCGACTTCCATCTCCCTGAAGGGGATCGCTCTCTGGTCCAACTCGACGAGGCATCTTTCAAAGCAGATGGGAGTGGTGTGTCAGTCATCACCTTCTTCAAAATGCTTGTCTTAGCGGAGCAGCAGAAGCATCTCACTCAACATCTGGTCTCCTACATGAATGTGACCAGGAAAGCGGACAGCAGCCTTGAGACCGGGATGGATGGTTTTGAGATCACCTACAAATCCAAGATGCGATTCAAGTGCTTGGTTCAGGAGAAGGTCACCTGCAAGAACATTTTTGCGAAGATGGTGGGCAAAATCAATGAGATGGGTCAACTGCAGTCGATTTTTAGGTTCCGATATGAAAGGATTGGAGCCTCTTTTAAAGTCCAGCGGCCATACGTAATTACAAAGGCCAGGATTAGCCTCAAGCGCGGACAGCCTCAACAAATCAAATAGGGGGTTGGCATGCTAGAAATGTCTGTTTACTAATTTTGTTTACCTGGTTGGGGATGATTAGAATCTTTTGGAACAGTTTTTGAACATAGAATGGTTTGTTTGATGAATCTCGGCACCTTGCCACACCTGTTTGTTTGAGGCGGGCTTCAGCATGTTTGCATAACAGTGCTTCAGGGCTTCAGGGTCGGTTGTTTGACAGGGCTAGGAATTGCTTATCACAGGTTTGTCATTTATCCAATTTCGGATTTTCTGTCTGAGCTGTATTCACCTGAGTGCACTGCGGCATATGCTGATTTGGCAATAGCATGGAGCTCATTGGGCGCTAGACTTCTCTGATAGGAAGCCACAGTCCTGAAAGAAATCCTAGTCATCCTAGTCGAAATACTAGTTGATCTATGATGATCATTCAATGAACGTATCCTTGTAGGTTTTATGGCTTTGCTTCAAGGGGAGTGAGAAGATGCTAGCATCATCCCAATGGTAGGTAGCTTTATACAACTTTGCCATTTTGATGAGGCAACACCGCGCAAGAAAACAACAGAAACGAGACACTCAATTCTTCTCAGCAAAGCTTTGGCAAGGAGGAGCATCTCTTCAACTACTCTATTGTATAATTTGTATAGTGAGAGTTGAGAGCAGTGTGTACCTGTTCTGTTTTGTGTGTCAAACCGGCTCAATTTGAGATTCCTTGTTTCAGTCAGTCGGAAACTACCTTGATTCTCAGAATGGCGCTGACTTACGAGGAGGTCTTGAAGGTGTGGCAAGGCCTGGAGATTATCCTGGGCATGTCTGTCTTGAATGAGAAGGGCGATTTTGGTCATGAATGCCTCAGAGAAACGCTGATCAGGCTTCAGTGTTTGCCCCTCTTCAATGAGACACCCGAGAACATGGATGTTCTGTTGAGCATGGTCCAGTTGCTCACAGTACTTCGGAACATGACTTTCTACGCTTCCATGAACGGAGGTTACGACGGCTCAGAGATCGCAACATGGATTCACCATGGTCGAGATGTTGTTGGACCTGCACAGCCTACTCGCGAACTCAAAGATGTGGTTGGAAACAGCCGAGAGCACATTGAAGACATTTTGGACAAGTCCATCCAAGAGGTGAAACACCTTCAAGTGACTTGTAGCTCTGACAGTTTTAATGTGCAGCAGTTGCTGTCTAAAGCCCTGAAGCTGCTGGAACAAGTAGCAGAAGAGCTCTCAGCAATTTGATAGGTGTGCCACTTTTGTCGCTCTTTTTGGGAAAAGAGTAGGTGCATTGTTGTGCAACTCTTTCATTTGGCAGTCGCTCGTGGCGCAAAGGTGTCATCAACTTTCATACACTTTTATGGCCTGATCTCCCCATTTGACTTTTAAGTTTCATTTTTTACACATGGCTCAAGCAAGTTGGTTAAGTCTGGACTCCGCCGCTGATGTCCTTTGACATTCAGAATCATATTTTGCGCAGCGCTGCTCTCCATGCCCAGGGAACACAAGCACCAGGGCCTTCACCACCAAGGGCTGTGGCAACCCATGAGAGTCAGGGTGGAGGTGGGGATGTTTTTGAGGCAACACCACAGCGAGGACAATCACAAGAAACTACCCCTCCAGGGAGAGGTCGTGGTCGTGGAAAAGGTCGGGAACGAGGGCGTGGCAGGGGGCGAGATAGTGGAAGACTTTTGTTTGCAGAGTGTGGGAATTGTTGTTTTGTCTAATGATATTCGATATTCATTAATCCTGTCCCTGAAAAAAAACAATCTCATTACAAGTTCATGGGATACACCCCAATACAGCCCACCCAAAAAAAAAGCATTAACATGATTAACCTTGCAAGCTCCATGCTCAGGAGCACCTGTGCTGAAGAGACCTGCTGCTAAAGTGAAGGAGGAGCCTGAACCAACACCCATTATGAAGAGGCCTTCGGTGTCCAAGTCTCCAGCTAGAAAAACGAGGAAGAGGGAGACTTCTGATGGAAATGATGGCGGAAACATTGCTGATGCTACTGCTACCGATGCCAATTTGGACCATGAAGAACCAGAGGAGGAGGAAAGGACCAGTGATCCAGAAGTGGCACAGGAGGAGGCGGAGGAGGAAAAGGACATCGAAGTCAAACGGAAACCAGCTTCAGCTCCTACAACACCAACACCTCGGAAAAAACCTTCAACGGCAACAGGACGTGGGAAACCGAGGAAACCTACACAGCGGGCAAGCTCTACTTTGGTTCTAGATACTGCCTTTGATGATGGATGGAAGCTTCAAAAGTTTGTCCGCAACCCAGGCACCAAAGGTGCAGGTGGAACCTATGCAAAATTCACCGCCCCTGATGGCACTACCTTGTGGTCCCTTGTGAAAGCCCGGGATGCGGGCTTTGTTCATGATTACAATGGACAGTGATTAGATTTAGCCATGATCGCTGGCTCAGAATGAGCGTTTTTGAGACTAGCAACATCCTGCGAAGTCAAAAATTGATAGCGGCTTCCATCACAGATTAACACACACAAGTTAACACCGAACCGAAAACACCACAAGTCTTGAAAACACTATCTTTTATGAGAACTCCTTTATTTTACTTACTGTACATATTTTATGTTGATACTGATGATCAAAGAAAGGGGTTGCTGGCTGCCGCTTCGTACTGTGTGAGCGTGTGTTGTGTGTGCATGGGATGGGTGCCAGCATGTGGCAGGGGAATGGACTTGAAGACCACATAAGGTGGAATGAAGCTACATCTGACTTTCCAGTGGTACGCTTTTTCAAGGCATGAACACTTGTTTGATGATGTGCAGTTTTTTTTTCTGTCACTTTTTTCTGCTACGACGGAGGGTTCAGGTAGTTGATTTTTTGATACTACCATGAAAATAGCAACACCAGGGCACTGACTTGTGACAAATATCCCAACACCTATAGGCAAGAGGTGTGCGGGAAACTGTTTTAAACCAAATTGAACAATAGGTCAAACATATTCCAGCATGGATTGAAAAAAATGTTTTACAGCAAAATGCATCGGAGGACGCAGGTCACGTTGTATGACTATAAGGTTACCCATGATGCACTCGATGGATCGTGTGCCACCGTGGCACGCCCGGTGTTGCCCCCTCTCCACCCCGGCTCGAAACCCGGTTCCAGGTCGGGACGAGCATCAAGAGATACGAAGGTACCACGAGGAATGACATCCAATCCATCCTGCGACAAACCAACCTATGCCACTGTTCTTTCTCTCCGCGAAGTACTGCGGAAAGTACGAGCTTCGGCGGACCGGATCGGCCGAACACTCCAGGCTCGGTCCCAAGTTAAGGCATTGGTAGGCATTGGCCCGTGCACGCCGCACGGAGAACACCGGATCTATGTGATGTTTGTTTATTACACTCCCTGAAACAATCATGGAAGTGGACAGTGGTCCCTTGGAAGACTATGTTCCTCTACCATCCTCTACCAGGAGGGGGTTGTCCACTTCCATTGTTGCAGGGTATACTGACCTCTGTTGGATCATGCGCGACCTAGTGACTAGGTGGCTCCAAAGGCTCCCGTGACCAGATTTCGAGCTGTCAAGGTCATCTTAAAAGCATGAGTCCGGTATTGATGCACCAATCCAGCATGTGTGGGTGCTTGGTTTGTATGTTTACAGGAAACCAGCCAATATCGCCCACCTTTTCACTTGAGCCAAAGATCGATGGTCGAGAGGTATATAGTACATAGAATACGTGGAACACTTAGTAAAAACACCCCCCGCGGCGCGAAGCGGCTTTGCCGCGGTGCACCGAAGAGGAAGTCATTCAGTGTCCACGTATCAACCTCAGGCGGCGATGAAATCAAACCGCACTACGACCCTCGAACTACTGCTTGCGAGTAATGCATGTCGGCACGAATGCAATCAAACTCCTACTTAACGATGCAAGACGAAAGCATGATTGAGGCAATCGATCCCTTTTCACTGACGCGGAGCATGCGACAAGACTTCGCCTGAGCAGCTATGGCAATTGACCTCAAAAATTGCGATAAGCAATGAGGTTTCTCACTAGGACAACGGCTATGCCTTCCGGCACGCTCGTCTCACTGGGAACTCTTACCGTTCCATGCTCGAGAAAAGCGTACACAGACTGCACAAACCATTGAATTAAATGCAAAATGAGCTGATTGAAGGGTTTACGGCAGAGCGTTCCCGCCCGCTTCATAGGGACCTTGAACGTATCACACCAACGAATTTGATTTCCGGCGTGACCTTCCGGTCCGCATGGCGAGACGATGTTCTCTGCTTCTTTCTCCCTTTTCTTCATGGCTCTTCAGCGGTTCCACCAGCCTCCCTTGGACGAGGACCACCAGTCGGAGGAAGATGACGAGGCAGCCTCACTCTGCCATGAGGATCGCCCGGAGCGGTTCCAATCCCACGAACCGGAGCCCCAGGAACCTCCCCATCCTTGGTTCCAGCTGCTTTGCCAGCCTCCTTGATACTGGCTCTTCCCCTTGCCTTTGCCCTTGCCCTTGTTGCGACCCTTTGCTTCTGGGCAGTCGCGGGCACGATGGTCGGGTGAGCCGCACTCGTAGCAGAGCTTGGCGTCTTTCCCGACTCCTTTTGAGCGAGGATCGAAGGCCGTCTTCGTGCTTTCCTTTGCAGTGGATCGCCGCTCGGTGAGCTTCACCTCTGGAAACCGTCCTGAAAAGATCGTCGTGTCGGAGTACTCGGTTCCCTCGCAGGCTCGAGCCCAATTGCGTTCAGCAAACTCCACTAAATCGCTCAGGATCTGCACGGCGTCGCCTTCCGGCACGCACTCCAGGCTTCCCCATCCCTCCACAGCAACAACGGGTTCGTTGCGTGTGCGGGCCAGCGAGCACCACATCGAAAACTGCTTCAAATTGAAGAAACGATTGTGATGACATACGAACGATTCGTCTTCGATCGACATGGCATCGTTCGGGTCCCTGGCAATAGTGGGGATAAAGCACAACTTGGAGTGGTGCTCCCTCTCTTGGTCGTCAAGGGCCCTCTTCCGCTCGAGAGCGCTTCGTCCAGGGTTGGCAAAGATCGCTCGTGCAAGTCGGTGAAGAAAGGTGAGTGACCCTGACGTGAGCTGCGTTGTTGCACAGTTATAGGCAAACAACGGGTCAACCTCCAGTCGCTTCGTCGGTCCGGGCAATCCCAGCTGCTTCGCCTTCCTGACGTAGTTGACGGCCAGTCTCTTGACTAGGCCGAACGCCGATTTGGCGCCGCGCTGCTGTTCGCCCTTGGATGTGTCTTTGACGACGTTCGCCTTGCGAAAGGATCTTGTTGAAAGCTGATCCAAAGCGACGACGGACTCATTGAGGTTGGCCGTCTCTTCCATCCGGGCAAGTTCACTGGCCGAACGGGCGTCGGACCAGACCTGCAAGTCTTGGCGACAATAGTCGCATTTGCGCTGGCCATCAAAGTGCTTCGTCGCACACAAGGGTGATGGGCACACCCGCTTGGGGATCTGGACAATCTCATTCGCCATCAGATCTTCGTCCGTGATGTCGCGAAACTTTCCTTTGCCCTTGCCCTTCTTGCCCTTGGACTTGCCCTTCGATTTGCCCTTTCCTGCCCAGCCAGACATCTCCTCATTGATGATAATGCACACTTGTCCCAGCATAAAGCCGGTAAGCTCTGGCGGCGGACCCTCCCGGGACGCTTGGCTCTGAGTCAGGGCAACCTCATCGGTAATGCCCGTCATCTTGACTGCGCCTCGCATCAGGTTGATCTGGCCCACCTTGACGTGCTGCTGATTCTGGCGGGCATTGTTCAGCATGTAGTTTCGGGCTTCAGCCAGCTTGCTCAGTCGGAACTGTGGATCGTCAGTGGAATGGCTCTTCATTTCTTCATGGTACATCTGTCGCATCTTGGCGTACGCCCTGTTGAACCAAACAAATTGGTTGTTCCGGGCATCGTACGCGTACATCAGTGCGGAATTCGGAACCCAGTCCAAACAGAGGATGCTTTTCCGTGTCGCGAAGACCCGACAACCGTGCTGCATCACAAGCTCTGTGTCGAATGCTAGGTAAATGGGTTGTCCGGCTCGCGTTCCCGCAAGCTTTCTCATCTGGGCCTTCCATGGCGGGCAGGTCGTGAAATAATTGTGAGCTCGGCCCGTCTTCTTTGGAAAACCACCAGGGATGAGACCAGAGGTGATGATTCCCTCCATAGCTGCGCGGTCGCACGAGTGGTATAGGACCCTTGGTAGTGACGACAGATACTCCAGGTCAGGCACCATGTTCATCCGTGGAAGCTTGCCCTCATCGACCATTTTCGGTACATAGTCGGGGTCAAGGGAATAGACACGCTTAATGAAGTTGGCGTGTCCCAACCGGTCAGTGACCCACCGGTTGTGGCCTTGCACCGCCTTGATACCGACTGGTTCGTACGGCAGACCTTTCCAGGTCGCTCCCACAGTATTGCCTGGCAGGCGGGTCTTTAACTCGAATCTTTCGTCTTCCGAATTCTTGATCACCAGAAGCACCTCCCATTCCCTGCGTTGGTTAATGCGTTTCTGGAGGCATTCCATGAGCGGCTTCCAGGGCTTACTGCCGTCCTCCTCGAAGTCAGGCGTATCGAACCCTTTCAGTTCCTTATGGCCGCGGAGGTGGGATGTGAGCTCTTGGGAGATCCACCTAAAACGGCCCCACTCAACATCCCGGCGCGGGATTTGGCGAAGGTGCTCGGGACCGAGCCACACCTCTTGTCCCGGAAGCTGGGCAAATTCGAGATCCTTACTGGGATCTTCGGTGTCGATTGCCCGCAAGGTGGGTTCCAGATTAGGACGCCTCACCTGCTTCGGCTGCGCCTTGGGCCGAATAGCAAGCCGCTCTGCTTCTTTCCACTTCTTGAATCGAGCGTCCCGCTCTTCCTGTTCCCCTTTCACCACGATTCGGCCGGTTTTCTCGTCGATGTAGCTCAGTTCCTCGTAGTGAGCTTTGGCCTCAGCAGCGACCTTTTCTAGCTCTGTGAGTTCTGGCTTCGGCGAACCTTCCGGCACGCTTGGCTTCTGGGGCTTCGTGGCAGAGGGCTTCTTCTTCGGCTTTCCCTTCTCCGCGTCATCCTCACCAGTCAGGTCGATCTCCATGGGCTGGGCATCATCAGTTTGAGTCTTCTCTTCACTAGCCTGGCCCGGAGTCTCCTTGGCTTCTCCGCCCTGGGACTCCTCAGCTGGTTGATCGACGTCATTTTGGCCTCCGGGAGCGGCTTCTTCATCCGCCTTCTTCTGCTCCCCTTGGGCCTTTTCGTCGACCTCCATGGGTTCGGGCTTATCGGTCTCGCCCGTCTCTGAACCCCCCGCAGACTTGAATACCGCCGAGTCCGCATCATCATCGTCCCAGTCTGGTTGTTCCTCTTCAGGATGCTCAACGATCACATAGGACTTTTCGGTGCGAACATCAGCAAAGGCTTCATCATCTGCCTTTTCTTCCTCAGTCTTCGGTGGCGGAAGCGGCACCTCAACTGGCGGGATGAATGAGCTGGCATCCGGATTCTTCTTTTTCTCCTCGAGGGCCCGTTCCCACTCATCGAAGTCGAGCGTATCTCCTTCGTCTGGGACTTCCCATGGGAACTCTTCCACAAGTTCTTGGCCCCCCATGGGAGTTGGCAAGTCTGGGTACAGCTCTTTCATAATGATGCGATGCCTCTCATCGTGCTCACTTTCGTCCAATTCTTCTGCGTCGATGGGCAATCGCAACAGGTCATCTGGGGCCATCTCCTGTGCCAGCACGTGGCTGGTATCTTTCAGGCGCACGACATCCGTCTCTTCCTCTTGCAGCAACCAATTCATTATCTCTTGGTCAACTGCGTCCACAATGTCGGCCGGGCTCAATTCGATTTGATCCACGGCTCGCCTTCCGGCAAGCATCAAGTCAGCAGCAGCTCGAACCTCCGAGATGGTAGGGTACCTGAACATGAACTCCATCAACTGCAAATCTCCCTCGCCCTCACCGGCGTTCAGGATTGTCAACGGTTCAATCTCGTCCTTGTACTGCATCACTTGGAAGGTCCGAAATGCACTGGTAGCAATGCCGGAGTAGACGGCGACGCCCCATTTGAGGGACTGGTAGCACTCGATCATGTGGAATTGATCGTGGTAGAAGACCTGGTTCGTCATCGTGCTTGGATCCACACACGGAACACCTCTCGATATCAGGTATCCGTAGCGCTCCCCGAGATGCCGGTTGTATGCTTTCGGCAA